CCCCAAAACCCCAAAACCCCAAAACCCCAAAACCCCAAAACCCCTTCTAATATTTAAACTACTGAAGCGGAAAATTATAATTTAAATTAAAGATGAGTGGAACAGGCGATAAGTACGAACCTAATGGGTCAGAAGATTTTAGTGAATCTGAGGAAGATTCAAGTAAGAAAATTGAGGCGGATTGGGCAGGTTTGGGGTGGGTTTATTGTAGTGATGTTTGAGAGGAACATTTTTGAGGGATGAATGGAAAGATGAAAGTTAAAAATGTTAGAAAATTATATATGATTGTTATTTACTTTTATCTCTAGACTCTGAGGGTATTAATGATCTCACCAGTCAGGAGCTGGATAAGAGGATCAACCAGATGAAGGCCAAAATTAAGGATCTGCAAGAGAACGAGATGAAGTTTGGCATAGATTCTCAAGATTACCCTGATAGTCAGCAGGAATCAGGCAATGATTCTAACCAAGATTACTACTCGAGAGAGGATGATAGTGAATATGATGGCAATCAAAAGCAGCCTCAAAATTACGAAGAAAATAGAAATATAGGAATCTCAAGTAAGGAAAAGAGGAAAATGTAAGTCTGCCGCAATAAAATTTGGCACTCTCTCACATATTTAATATAACCTTGTCATATAGGAAAACTTATGACTCTCCTAAGAATTACAAGGAGAAGAATCCAATGGTTAAGGATTATGATGAGGACTCCATGAATCAATATGATGAAGCTCAAGACCATTTAGGTAACCTTTATCTCTATTTCCAAATCGTGAAATTATTCTGACTCGAAAAACTGTTTGCTACTAATGAGAATTATCACAATTCAGAATTATCGAGAAATTTTCTGAAGCTTCGAATTCATAAAAATTTTTGATTAACCTGAGATATAGATCGAAACGAAGAACTACAGAAGATTAAATTGTCAGTTGAAAATCAATATAATGAAGGCTTTAAGAATCAAGAAAGATATCCTCCCAAGAAAGAGTTTAATGAAGACCAAGATTATGAGTATATGGATAGTCAACCACAGAAGAAATATCAAAAGTCATCTCCATCACAGAAGAATTGGAAAGAGCCTGATTCTGATGAAAATAATGATGGTCAATATTCGCAGATAAAATAACTCTAAAACATTTAAGAAGTTCATGATGAGTGAGAATCAAATGAAGATAAACAAGCAAAATGAAAGCCAAATGTATGAACAAGAGCATTCTCAGCAGAAAATGAACATGAATGAAGTTAATAAATTTGGAGATAAAGTTCAGAGATTTGACCATCCTATCTTTGAAAATGAATACTCAAATCCCCAGAATTTAAATGAAACTAGCTATCAGAATGCTAGTTATGATAATAAAAATACCCAGAATCATCAAAATTACAACATACAAGCACCTCCCCAAGCAACCCCTGCCCAGCCTAATAGATATCCTCCTGCTGAATGGGCTAGCAATATGAGGTATGGACCTTCTCAAGCTCCTGAAGAGAACGAGCTGCCAGGATATAGTGAACAAATTTTGAATAACATTCCTTCGCTATCTTTTGCTAAACAGCAATTGTATCAAAATGCTATGGGAAATATGTCCCAAGACACGTATGACCAGAGCATTCACATGACTCCTGCTCGAATGAATCTAGCAATGAGTTATCAACAGCCAAGCATGGGTGGAAATCAACAACAGAATTTAGGTGGCCCTCAACAACCAAATATGGGAATTCCTCAGCAGCATAATCTTGGAAACTCTCAACAGCCAAATCTGGGAGCTTCTCAACAGATGGCATATGGTTCAAACACCTTTGGCACTGATGCAAATATGGGAATGATGTATCCTCAGAACCCTCAGAAATCTTACCACAGCAGCCCTCAAAATCCAGGAATAAACAGCATGGATCTTCATGGCTTAACTACTGGAGGAGATTTAGAATTCATCCAGGAAAAACTCACTAAAGTACAGGAACAGTATGACACCTTGAAGAAGGAATATGATGAGCAGAAGCAATTTTACGATGAAGCTCTAGAAGCAAGAACTAATCAGCTTGAAGAAGCTGAAAATGAAGTTTCTAAGCTCAAAGGGGAACTTGAAACCACTAAGAAAGAGGAAATAGATCTGAAGGCAAAGAATGAGTCATACAAATTCGACAATGATATGCTTTCCAAGACAATAGAGTCTACCAGTAAGGATAAGACAAATGCTTCTCAGAGAGAAGAAGGTCTACTTAATCAGATTGATGAGCTCACTTCTGCCATAAAGCAGAAGGAATCCATCATTGAACAGAAGGTTGACCAGAGCTTTGGCTTAAAGCAGACTATTGATGGTCTTAAAAGCGATGCTGAGAAGGCAAAAAGAAGGATAGAGACCTTGGAAGAAGTCTGAAGAAGCAAAGATTCAGAAATCAATATGATGGATAAAGAAATTGAAAACTGTAAAGGAGAAATCAATGCATTGACTAACAAAGAAAAGGGACTCGTTAGAGAACTTGAAGCTACTAGGTCAGAATTCGGGAGTACTAGAGATCAACTCCAAGCTGAAAGAAATAAAAATAGTCAACTTATTGCAGATATTAATGGAATCAAAGAAGTCTGTGCACAGTCCCAACAAAAGGAAAATACATTAAGACAGACATTAGATAGAGCGAATGATACTATAGACCAAATGAAGAATCAATTGAAACAAGCAGATAACTATATCAAAGATCAAGATAATCAACTCAGAACTGCTCAGAGAGATTTAGATTTTTCAAAGAATTCAAACTCAGATTTGAAAAACCAAATAGAGCAGATGAAAAATCAAATGGAGCAATTAAGGGTCCAATCAAATATGGCTCAGCAACAACTATCATTCCAAGCTGCTGCTCCTCCTCCGCCTCAATATAGACCACCACCACCTCAATTTGATTATAACCATTACCAGCCATCTCAACCCCAGTATACCAATTATTCGCCTCCTCAAGAGAAGAGTTTTGCCCCCTCATATTCTTCTAACTACGATCAGAATACTGCACCTCCAAGAAGAGAACCAGAGGAGTATTCTCAGCCTAGTTTTGCCCCAAGAAATTCACCTCCGAAAGAAGAGTACAAAGCACCCCCACAAAGGAAGCAGTATCAGGAGCCTCCTAAAGAGCCAGCCTACCAGCCAAGAAAGCAAGAGTATCCTGATTACGCTCAGACTTTTGGAGAGTCTAAAAAGAGCAACCAGAACAAATCTTCAATGGGATCTCTTCTCACTTGGGAGGAAGATGATAGAAAACCTCGTGCAGAGCCTAAGAGGAGGATGGAGCCTCCAAAACAAGAGCCTCGTTATAATCAGCCTCCTGCTCAGGAGCCAGCTCGCCCAGATCCAGTAATGTCTCATAATGAGAGAAGACCAGAAACAGGGCAATCTAACTCATGGTACATTAGAGATTAACGTTTGTAGGAACCAAGCATCAGCAGGTGTAAAAACAAAAGAAGCTCCAAAGCTCGAATCCCAAATCCAATTTGAAAGAGAACAAAAAGAGATCAGTACTATAGAAACCAACCTCCTCAACTTACAGATGGAGAAGAAGAATCTGAACATGGAATACGACAAGATTCCTGACACAGGTAACTTTTTATTTCAATTTATGTATTACCTGTGTCCCCTTTGTGTTCCTCCTTACCATTAATGTTTACCTTTCTTCTAGCTAAAACAATCGCTCAGAGAAGAAGAAAGCAAGACCTAGAAAGAGAGATCAACATTCTGGACAAAAACATCTCTTCTCTCAAAAAGAAACTCAGAGAGAAACAAGTTTTATAATCGCCCAATTAATTCCAATTAATATCGCAACAAATCAGTTTCCTAATAAGATCGTTACCCCAAAACTAGTTTAGCTGTTCGCCGACATCTGTCCATATACACCATTATTGAAAATTACTCTAATAAAATATTCCTAGCCTACATCTCTGTGAGGGCTAACATTCTTTAATTTAGACTAATCTCGAGTAATTTTCTTTACTAAAACTGGCTGCTTGAACAATATTCTGCATTTAATATTATACTTGGGAGTGAATATGGTCAGCCTTTTTTTAAAAGCTTCTAGATAAATTTATTAGATTTGTTTGGGGTTTTGGGGTTTTGGGGTTTTGGGGTTTTGGGGTTTTGGGG